TCCCCTAGTATCAGGCAGTTATTGCCTACCAACAATGAAGTAATATATAGTAAATAACGCCGTTCACAGCTATTAATCTGCGGGATATACACATTAGCACCTCTACCTCAGCAATTCCACACTTGACTGCTACCCCCATACATTCCATATATGGTTCACTAAAGACTGGCTCAAGCGGGATAGGTCTAAGCCGAACAGAATGGTGTAACAGGAACGCTAATCCCCCACCTCCACTTCTGGTGAAATACGTCCTCAATACGTTGTTCCTATAAACAACGTTGTAGGCTGCAATAGTCCCCCGATTCATAATTTCCACAATCTCATCTATTTTGCTCGGAGTCCGTTGCAATTGAATTGCAAAAACGATGTACAATCCGGAGTTGGAATAGCAACATGTGGCGAAAGATGCTGCGGTATTGGTTTCTGTTAAGGAGACTGCGGTGGAGTTCCATACTCCGACGAAGAATCAGATGAGGACGACGAAGACGTAGACTCGCTGGGGACTACGCTGCAGGACGTCGCAACTCAATCACTTTCGCTGTAGTCTAGCAACGACTTAGTCCAGAATAGTTCCTGAAGTGCACCCACATTACATTGCACCGAAGCAAACCTATGCTGGATTGCCGTTGACAAACTGAACAGAACCAAGGTCCAGGATTTTCCTCAACCCTGGCACGGTCCAATAAAATCCGGAGAAAGCAATCCGAGATATGCTGCTCCCCACGTAGAAAAATAGACAAACACGAATATGTACATACTGGGTTGGCAGCCGCTGCCCGAAACTGTGATGTTGTTTCGGGTCAATCCGAAATCATAACCCGCCGTCGAGGGATTCAAATTTGTCTTTGTGACGTATTCACCCGTCATTTGTAAAAACCATTGCAAAATCATCCCAGGAAAACATTTCCATTTTCTGTTTCTTTATTCGTAGAATAGAAAATTGTTTAGAAAATATTAGAATTCAGTTGTAACCAAAATGCTTATTACAGTGATTGTTTTGACAAAATGTTAACCTTTCTGTGACGAAATAAATATCTATAGATACAGAATATGATTTTGAAAAATCTAACCCTTTTATCCAGTTTTTGCGTTTTTTGTTTATTTATTCAAAATCAATGCAACAAGCTATTTTGTTTATTCGATTCAGAACAATTTGTTACACTTGCTTTAATAATAATTCTGACAAAATTAATAGTAATTCTGACAAAATAATTTGAGTTTGCCTGACAACTACAAAATATGTCATTACTTGTCAGATATTGTCAACATGATTTACTTAAATTTGAAAAATTATTAAACAAACAAAGAAGATATCCGCTTTTTTCCAAATCTTAAATCTCCTCGACGCAGTGCGGCGCCTTGCCACGTACTTTGTAATATTTTCGAAAACAAACTGCAAGCGGGACCATAAGTAAACAACACATCCTATCTATGATTTATACTAATAACCACCATTATTGTAGTAAAATTATAAATCTGGCGTGCAGTAATGTTTCCATGGATGTCATGGACTCGTGAGGGGATAAACATTTACGAGGTGACCTCGATCTAACATTTAGATTTGCTCCTTAAAGAAACTGATTCCATTAATACATCCCATCAAGAAATAGAATGGTCCAATGGATAAAATAGAAAAAATGTAATTTAACCAGTACAACAACAAGAGGAAACACTGAGATACTCTATCAATTTTTCTACCAATAGCAGTTCAATTATTTGTGAAGTTTTTTTTCTGCAGAATCTAAATTTTTGCGCTCCAAGTATTATTTCCTTTGTTAAAAATTTTATATTGATGTGTGATACATATGTTTTTAGTAAGGACTGGAGAACGAAAATTCCAGTTCATAATTAAAAAAACATCGAATTTTTCTATGCAGTTTGTTCTTGAATGAACAATATTGGCTCATTCCTTCTAGCATCTACAAAGAGCGCATCACAATCATACTCAAAAGGTATTCGTCGACTTTAAAAAACAATGATACTTACGACATATTGAGGGTCCATAGCTTTGGACTGGCAAAAAACTGACGAAGTTGTACTCAGGACCTTTAAGGCTACCTGTGATATGGATAGCAAAAAAAAAATTAACGAAATGGCCCTAAACCCAAATTGTTTATAATTTTAACATCATTTTTGAATGTTTACACTTTATTGGTACTTTGATCTGTATTGGTATTTTGACGTTAACAGATCAAGATTTTTGAGATATTTTGTAGACTGTAAGAATTTTGTACAAAAAAATAAATAATTTTTGCAACAGCAAACCGACGGAATTAAAGAGATTAGCAATGTGGGCATTGGACAGGACTTCTCGTTTCGAATATTTTGCCTTTTTAAGAATAGGACCAATGACAAAAATGAAAGAATCAGAATGGATATTCCAAAGAATTTGTAATGGGTTTGTGTTAGAAATGCTAGACTTTATAAACGAAAGTACTTGTGGATCCACTAGTTCAAAAAATAAGTATTTTGTCGATTAATAAGTAAATATTTATTCAAGTCGTTCAAGTGCTCTCTTCACCATCTGTTTTGCGACCAAAGAGCAACCGAATCCATTTTCTTAAGAAGTTGCTGCAAAATTGAAATAAAACACTTGAAAGTACTGCAAGAAGGTAGCAACATTTTTACTGAAGATAATTTATTGTTGAGAAAAAGAAGGAAGTACCAATAAAGCAGGCATTTAATTTAGAATTGTACCAATTACTTGTGTTTTATTTCTTGAAATTCTCTTTCTTTCTCTTGCACACCACACGCACGAATCACTTTCACCTACACATCACATAATAACTCTGGGGAGTTTTTGTTGACTTAAACAACTTACCTTTTTACTACCGACCACATCCCGCATTGGTGGACCAGCTGCATTTAATTTTTTTACCAATCGTGCCCACGAGTCATTGGTGGCTTTTATGTAGCACTTAGCCAACTGTGGATGCTCCATAATGAAATTCACCATTATTTCAAATTTGATTTGTTTCGTTTTGATATTTCTTGTATTATTTTCCCTTTAAAAACGACTTTAAGTCATATTTACCTATAAATGTGTATGAATTAATTAAATATTTACATTTTTAGAGCATTTTATCCTTTTTTGAATTGTAATAATTCTTTTGTTATTTTCTTTTTCTCTGTGCGTTAAGCTGGCCATAGACGAACGATTTGTTGGTGTGATTTGCAAATTTATTGCTGCGATTTATTGCATATCGTTTCTCCACACACGCTCGAACAAATCATAATTCGGCCGACGTTGAAGCGTAAGCATATGCTACGAAGCGGATGATGTTCATTTTGTGTTTGAACTTCGGTCTGTGCTTCTGTTTGAATTTTGTGGCAGAAAATTTTTTATTTAACAATTGGTTTTTTCTGTTGATAGGAAACTTAAAAAAACATGTGCGACGATGCAGTGGCTGATGCAGCTGCGCTTTTAATTATATATACATGTTTCGACATGGAAAATAAAAAACAAGAAAAGAAAAAAATCGAAAAAAAAAAGAAAAAGAAAATGGAGTGAAGAGTGGCTGCTCGAAAGAAAAAAGCATTCCCATGTAGCAACGCTCAAAAATATGGAAATGCTTACTCCAAGGGATTATAAAAATTTTCCATTTTGTTACGAGTTTTTCCCATGATTTTTGTTTTTCTAATTTGTCTTTATATTTTTCACTTTTTGTTTGCCAAATGGCATTTTCATTTTTTAACACATCAAAAAATTCTATCATAAAATCTTTGCTTGCCATTTTTTGTGTGCACTACATGACCTTTCGTTACAATGGTTGAAGAGCAACTGAAATGGCAAAATGGCTTAAAATTTGCGCAGTAGCCCGCACACGTATGATTTGTTTGCCAACAAATTGCAAGTTTTTGAAAATTTTCAAAAACTTGCAATTTGTTCGCAAACTACCCCACAGACGTAAAAACGCGACCACAAACCCAACAAATTGCTCGAATTTATCGTTCGTCTATGGCCAGCTTTAGTTAAAAATCAAACGAATACAAATGTCTTCTTTCGACCTACTTTGACATCTAAATTCGAAATACATAGTGATGCAAATCCGAAATTAAATTATCAATATCCGATAATCGGATATGGCAACGAAACTAGTAAATGTAATTGCGAGATCGAGTTAGATGGTAAAAAAAAAATCGCATCCGTAATATATAACTTTCGAATCGAATTACATAGTAACCTCCCAGTTCTTTTTCCAATTTCGGATGTTTTTAAGGTGAGGGTACATAAGAAGTTTAAAGTCTTCGCATATTTTGTGACATATCATAAAGGAATGTCAGAGTCGCACTCGAATCCTGTCATGGTTTCCCCTTATAATTTGACATTAATATGTCTAGCCATGATGCCAAGCTGCTTATGTACCCTCAACTTTATATCCTCCCATAGAAAATATGGTTGAAAAAGTACGGGAATAGAAAAGTAGCAATGCTAAAATAAACGTCAAAATCATGTTAACAATGAAGAGCTAAACAGCTGATGAAAATAAAGTTCAAAGATATATGTATTTGCAGAATATTTGATAAATATCGACAAAATAAATTTACATACGACTTAAAAATAAGCCGAAATAGTGAATTTGGTGTCATTAGAAACGTCAGGTACTAATTCAAAGTGAATTGAATAAGATGTCAAATTCGTTGTTTGCCGTTTTTTCTCGCCCAAATTAATTGTGTAAAAAAATTTAGAGATGTCAAAAAAAATTTACATACGACTTAAAAATAAGGCGAAATAGTGAATTTGGTGTCATTAGAAACGTCAGGTACCAATTCAAAATGAATTGAATAAGATGTCAAATTCGTTGTTTGCATTTTTTTTTTTCGCCCAAATTAGTTGTGTAAAAAATTTAGAGATGTCATGTAAGCAGAGGAAAATATGCAATTCGACAAAATATGTAATAGAATCAGAAACTTTTAAGTCGTGGAACACAATTTATGTGTGTACGGCGTTAGATACTTCCATCTCTTTGTTACCGCCATCGGAAAATATTGATCCACTTTGTAGTCTGTAAGATTGCATTCCTCAGCACAATAATATCGTGAACGGCCTGTGTTAGGTTTATAAAATACTTTTTTATGTACGAATACTAAAAGTGTAATATTTCAGTTTTACATTAATAAAGTGTAACACAAAGCCCTGTGTTTTTTTCGCTCTAAATTGTAAGTAATACAAGTTTTTGAGACTGAATGCAATTATGCGTATTTAAAGTGTGAGTCACGGCCATCGCCTAAAATCATTCCAATGGTGATGTTTGTGTTCATACACTACAGCACATTGTGGCCAGTGTATTATGATTGTTCGTAACATAGAGAAGGAATCGAAACAGACCCATAGTTCCTTTTCAGGACCTGCATTGAATAACACTCTGAGACGATTTATACATGTCCGTCCGTCAGTCCGTCCGCCTGTCCATGTATTTTTGTAAACAAAGTACAGGTTGGGAAACAACTCTAGTTTAGTAAAAACTCTTCGATTTTTCGAAATTTTTTCCAGAGGTAGGTATTTTTACCCTGATCCCGGGAAACTATTTTTTTCTTGGGGGACAGACCCGGGACCCCAGATTTTTAACCTGAAAGTCCGGGATCAAGACCCCGCCTGGACCCGGTTCCACTTACGCGATATAGACAATACGATTGAAAGCTTATGGAAATACCTATCCAACAAGAGGTCACATGAAGGGGTAAGTTGTCATGGTTCGGAAGTTATAGTCAAATTATCGATTTTTTGGACCCGGATTTTTTATGAAACCCCCAAAAAGTTAAAAAAGGGCCATTATGGGGGTCAACAAAATTGTTTCCAAATTATAGCTTCTACATTTCCAAAATACTACAATTTGTGCTAATACCTTTTTCGGGTCCAGAGATATGGGTCTTTGGCACCTTTTGTAAATAGCCGGCCTTCGGCCGGGGCTTGAGATTTTCTCCTCTGGGTATGTACCCACACCGGCTAACGCGAACCAAAGTTTTCTAAATTGGATACCTTTTGTAAGTAGCCGGCCTTCGGCCGGGGCTTGAGATTCTCTCCTCTGGGTATGTCCTACATTGGCTAACGCGAACCAAAGTTTTCTAAATTTGACACTTTTTGTAAATAGCCGGCCTTAGGCCGGGGCTTGAGATTATCTCCTCTGGGTATGTCCCACACCGGCTAACGCGAACCAAAGTTTTCTAAATTGGATACCTTTTGTAAGTAGCCGGCCTTCGGGCGGTTCTTGAGATTTTCTCCTCTGGGTATGTCCTACACCGGTTAACGCGAACCAAACTTTTCTAAATTTGACACATTTTGTAAATAGCCGGCCTTCGGTCGGGGCTTGGGATTTTCTCCTCTGAGTATGTCCAACACCGGATTTCTGAATTTGATGCTTACGTGAAATATACCTTTTTTTATTGAAAACTTAGTTTTAATGAACTGGTTAGAATCGGGTTATGCGGATGGAAAGACCCTCCATATTTGGGTGTTTTATAAAAAATCCGGGTCCAAAAAATCGATAATTTGACTATAACTTCCGAACCGTAACTTGTGACCACTTGTTGGATAGGTATTTTCATAAGCTTTCCAACGATATCTATATTGTAATTGGATTCGAGTAATTGGATCCGGGTCTAGTCGGGGCATTGGACCCGGACTTGGGGCCCAGTTCCGTCCCCCAAGAAAAAAATAGTTTCCCGGGATCAAGGTAAAAATACCTACCACTGGAAAAAATTTCGAAAAAATTGAAGAGTTTTTACTAAACTAGAGTTAAGCAAGCCCAGATTGGGACAACTCCAGTTTAGTAAAAACTTCGATTTTTTTGAAAATTTTCCCAGAGGTAGGTATTTTTACCCTAATTCCGGGAAACTATTTTTTTCTTGGGGGACGGACCACTTGTTGGATAGGTATTTTCATAAGTTTTCAAACGATATATTGTCTATATCGGGTAAGTGGATCCGGGTCCAATACGGGTCTTGAACCTCGACTTTCCGGTCAAAATCTGGGGTCCCGCGTCCGTCTCCCAAGAAAAAATAGTGTCTGGAATCAGGGTAAAAATAACTACTTCTGGAAAAAATTCAAAAAAATCGACTTGTTTTTGCTACACTAGAAAGATACAAATGCCTACTTCAAATTAAGCGAAATTTCCATACATCAGTAACTTTTGTTTTCAAATTATAACTGATATATGATCGATCACTTCACATAAATTCCCAATATAAACATTTATTTATTACAGGCAGCTCTACTAAATATGAATAGTTATGTAGGATATCATAAATTCGGCCTGCCCGACATTTACATTTTCTTTAGTGGTTTTCATTGCAAATAACAATTTGATTAAAATCTTGACCACTTTAAGTTTAGGGGATCTTGACTCTATTAAGAACTCATTTATTGTGGAACTACTCTAGTACAATAAAAACCGGGAAACCTTTTCTTCTTGGGGGAAGGACCCGGATATTTGACTCGAAAGTCTAACTGCAAGACCCTATCTACTAAACTGAAATATATGACCAGATATTCAACTTTATTCGATTTATCGACGTCGGCGGCGTTTGTTGCGGATCGGCATTCTAAGTGTCAATATTACCATTTAACGATATTTGTGAGATTTTTTGGCATTATCTAAGAAAATGTGACGAAGAATTAGACATGTATTGGCTCTGATTTTGTCGTTATAGTTTCTAATGTCGACTTGCAAATGATTCAAAACGCAATGAGAAAGTGTTCCTAAAGGCCTTTATTACTGCCCTGCTCCGTCGAAAATATGAATAAACATCATAAGGAGCAAGTAAAAAAGCTTCAATATTCCACCGGGCCGAACTTTTAATACCCATTTGTAAGAACTTGGAAAACTTCCAAAAATTCCGAAAAATACTGCTCATGAAAAATACTGCTCATGGGGGCTATACGAAGACCTGCATAAGAACTTTTTTTGTCATAGGCTGTAGTAACCATTAAGATATTTAAATAAAAATTTTGAATAATGTCCCTTAAATCATCAAAATACCGAAAGAAGGGAGGTACCGATATATGGGGGCTGTACGAAGACGTGGACCTGCATACGAAATTTTCTTTCATAGGTTGTAGAACCCATTAAGATCTTTAAATACGAACTCAGACCTACATGATCTAGGGGCTCTCTCTTATAGCGTTGGACCTCCCTCCCTAAATCATGTATGTACTTCCTGACACGCCTACGTGGGGGAGTTGTATCCACCATATGGTGGTTGGGATGACTCCCACGATAACACCCAAACATGTACCGCAACAAAGGCATATGGTTATGCTGACGTAAAGGAAGGACTTTCGCCTCCTCATGTAGATGGTCCACTGGTGTCATGAAGAGGCACCCAATCCTCATCCACTACGTAGCACTAGTATTCGCAGACCACACTGGAGCCGCATAGCTAACCACAGACCGACCTATCGCATTATAAGAGGTCAAGGTTTCCTTGTCCGCACTCAAGCGCTGTTGCAGATAGGTGTGGCTTGCGCGGGCTTGTGGTCGCTATTATATTTCCCTCGACCTGCACTTTCAGCTGTGTTTTCATCTCCGCAGACCATATTGTAAAGAGTGTGTTGACTTAGTGGCGGATTTTTTCATATTCCTCGCGTGGAAGTATGCGGCGAGCTTCGCTACATAGGGATTCAACCTTACACATATGTCATCAACCACTGGACCGTTACGTCGTCAAAAGTGACCGAACTCAGATATTCGACCAGCAGTTATGTAGCGAGCGGCTGCAGCTGTGATGATGTCTCAGAAAATCCTTTCTGCTACCCGAACATCAGAAGGGTTGGGCAATTCTCTGAGGCGACGGTTGGTGAACTCTCTGAATTCTGGAGACGATTATCGGGAGATCTCTGAGGGATTGGGGGCATCCTCGTTTACCGTGCAGAATGCGAAACAGTTAATCTGCTTTGCCAGCGCTGATCCCCTCCGCTCATAACCTAGGACGGAATGTCACAACTCATAGCGGGCATTAAAATCCCCTATTTATTTCTTGGGGGATTTTTGACTCGAAAGTCCGGGTTCAAGACCCGGTCTGGACCCGGATCCACTTACCAGGTGTAGACAATATAGGTATCGTTATACCTATCCAACAAGTGGTCACATGATGGAGTATGTGGTCATGGTTCGGAAGTTATAGTCAAATTTGGATTTTTTGGACCCGGATTTTTTATGAAACCCCCAAAAGTCAAAAAAGGGCCATTAGGGGGGTCAAAAAAATTGTTTGCCAACTTATAGCTGACCCTCTTACCTTTCCAAAATGCTACATTTCGTGCTAATACCTTTTTCGGGTCCAGAGATATGGGTCTTTACATCCGCATAACCCGATTCTAACCAGTTCATTAAAATTATGTTTCCAATAAAAAGGGTTTATTTCGCGTAGCAGTCGTTGGAATTACAAAAGTTTTCTAAATGTCGCACTTGAGATTTTCTCCTCTGGGTATGTCCTACACCGGCTAACGCGAACAAAAGGTTTCTAAATTTGACACTTTTTGTAAATAGGCGGCCTTCGGCCGGGGCTTGAGATTTTCTCCTCTGAGTATGTCCTACACCGGCTAACGCGAACCAATGTTTCTAAATTGTATACCTTTTGTAAGTAGCCGTCCATCGGCTGGGGCTTGAGATTTTCTCCTCTGGGTATGTTTTACACCGGCTAACGCGAACCAAATTTGACACTTTTTGTAAATAGCTGGCCTTCGGCCGGGGCTTGAGATTTTCTACTCTGGGTATGTCCTACGCCGGCTAACGCAAACCAATGTTTCTAACTTGTATACCTTTTGTAAGTAGCCGGCCTTCGGCCGAGGCTTGAGATTTTCTACTCTGGGTATGTCCTACGCCGGCTAACGCAAACCAATGTTTCTAACTTGTATACCTTTTGTAAGTAGCCGGCCTTCGGCCGAGGCTTGAGATTTTCTACTCTGGGTATGTCCTACGCCGGCTAACGCAAACCAATGTTTCTAACTTGTATACCTTTTGTAAGTAGCCGGCCTTCGGCCGAGGCTTGAGATTTTCTACTCTGGGTATGTCCTACGCCGGCTAACGCAAACCAATGTTTCTAACTTGTATACCTTTTGTAAGTAGCCGGCCTTCGGCCGAGGCTTGAGATTTTCTACTCTGGGTATGTCCTACGCCGGCTAACGCAAACCAATGTTTCTAACTTGTATACCTTTTGTAAGT